AATTTATGTCAATATATAGTAATAATAATAATTTAATCTAAATGAATTCAAGCTGGTCATATTTATTCCGTTATTTTCTTTTTATTGAAAACGTGTTGGCACGAGTTTAATATTAAATTTATATGGAACCCCGATCGTTCACGAATCGATGGCCGAAAAATCCTTCTGCCCACTTAATATCTCGGGTCATTTATCGTTCAAATGACCGCATAACTTCGCTATGTTCTATGAAATCACCGGTTTTATTGACAGCGGTCTGAATTAGGATGGTAGCTGACTGCAAAAGAATGGTCCGCAGCAATGAACCTTTCGTGAATCGCCTTTGAAAAAGAGCGCCGTTTCGTCATAAAGAAACTCGAGACGATAGGGGCGATAGATATATGAAATATGCGGGAACTCTGCGTGAAATCGTTTCGTGAAAGAAATCGAGCAACGTTTGCTTCTAGGTAAAGTGGGAATGAACGTATCGTAAGACATGATAGAATGGATCGCACTCGAAGGACGGAAAATTTTTCAGTAAGATAAAAGTGAAAATGATTATGTTAAAAATCATAAAAATAACTCAGAATCAGCGGCAATATCTGATTATACGCGCGCAGATGAAAATACGTACGTTTGCCAATCGCATGTCGGTTCGTCGTCGTAATCCGCGCTCATGTATGTCTCCTTGGAAACTTCATTGGCGCAATCTTTAATGGCTCTCTCGTGCTTGCTCGCAACATCCTCCGGTAGAAGCGTTCTATCCGCGGTATACAGTGCTCTCAAATACGTTCCACCTATTTGACTAACTTTATACTACTCTCGAGATGCATACTTGAATGCTCGAGGGGTAGTAGACATCGCGCGACTCTTCAACGTGGGACCAAGTCGGTTTAGTTGGCCCAATTTTCGTTACCACGTAGTTAATACAACGTATTTCTAGCTTCGAACTCAGTGAATGATGCTTCAGAAGTGCAAACACTCAAAACGAAAGTTATATTCTCTCCTCCCTCCTGCATAAAGTATACGATTCGTATTTGACATACCTACTGCCGACTGAAATTTCAACAGTCCTTTCGCCAAAATGAAAAACGGACAAAAATAATCCATTAACTCATGGATTTGATAAAGATGAAAAAACATTTGATTAGCATTATATGTACGTGAAAGAATTTTTTATCACGTCAATCTCCAGCTCACGCGAATGTTAAATATGTAACGCGGCGTATTTTAATAAGCATTTATTTCAGCCGAGTGATTGCTTTATGCAAATTCGTACGTGATTATAATTAACGCATGACTTTCAATATGATTCATATAAATACGTTCAATATCGCTTCCTGAAATATTCATCTCTGCATCAAATGCAATGTCTATAGCATAACTAACGTTATTAATAAGCAGAAATATTACTGAAATTTCTCTTTATAATTTTATGATCCGATAAAATAATAAATTCGTACATTTAAATAAATATAAATAGACTGAAAACGTCGATACTACTAAATACCACTAATAAAGCGTTAACCTGAAAATAATCACCTAGGATCAATTTTACATCCTAGTAGCGAGAAAATAAAACTCGCAATTAGAATAGTTTTCTTTACTGATTGAGAACTCTCCCTATTTTTTTATTCCTTCTTACTTTTTTTTTTAAATATTGAATAAATCTATATAGTATATAATGATCTCAAATATTAATAAAGTGTAGAATGCTTAATAATATATTTGATAATAGTGACTTTTAATTTATATAAAACATATCATAGGTAATTATTATTTAAGAAAAAAGCTAGATGACAATTCCTGGGTTAATCTTACATTTGCGTGGCTTCGGTATAATTATTCTTGTAGAGTGTTGACACCTCAACATTATATCTGAATTTTTATTATTTCTTTTAATGATTTACAATTAAATAAAGATTGATAATAATATATATTCTTAATATAATTATATATTCTTTAGATAAAATTAAACCCAAAAAAAGGAAATCTATAAGAACTACCCATTATTTGAGTCATATGTATAAACATTTTTTTATTCATCACATTATGAGCTACAACATATGTGAAAACTAATAAATTATTTCACCAGGGGGTAAATCATGAGTCATATGTATAAACATTTTTTTATTCATCACATTATGAGCTACAACATATGTGAAAACTAATAAATTATTTCACCAGGGGGTAAATCATGTAATTTTTCCCCTAGGGCGGAAACGTGAAAAGTGAAAAGTTTCACGTGAACTCTATGATCATCTACACTGAACCAAAAATGTATGTAAATAAAAGTATTCATTGGTATTAATAAAAAATTCATTAAAATTGGTCCAATGAACAATTTTATTCCTATAATGATTTAGGTTTTATAAAATGATCAATT